ATAAAAGGTTATTCAAACGAAGAAATTCTCTTATTTATATTTGGGTCTAATAGCATTTTAGTAATTTCAAACTCATTTATTTGTTTGGCTCTATTATTGGATACTAATAATTTCATTAGATTGACAATGAATATGTCAACTTAATGAAATTATTATTAGTATCCAATAATAGAGCCAAACAAGTAAATGAGTTTAAAATTAATGAGAATTAAAATATTTATTCACAGCAACGATATTTTCTTCTTTGCCGCGGCCGTTACACTTATGTACTTCAGAGATCCTATGCACATATGTCCATTTCCCTGAGTCGATCACTTTTGATGTGAAGATGATCTTCTCGTAGAGGTGTAAGAGATCTCATTTCTCTGTAAAGATCCGGTATGGAAAGATCCGATGACTGTATATAGGCGCAATATATCACAATAGGCAGTCACCGAAGAGGTGGCAGAACAAAATAAGTATAATTAATAAAATAAGACGTGCAGATACAATAATCACATTATATCGCAATATAATATAGCACTTGAGCCTTAAAGACGTTCACCGGTTAATCGGTTTTCTACATATTTGGTTAAAATTTGGATCATGTGCTATTATAGTGTTATCTGTACACTTGCTTAATTGTAAGAAACGCGCCGGTACCAAAGTAGAGATAGTCAATGTCAAAGTTACGAATTTTAACACGTAAGGTATAGGCGAGGCGCGTTCTTGAGGGATGTTTTAATGCAGCAGAAATTGTTTATCTATTTTGCTAAAAAAACTAATATATGATGCATCGATGCATGATGACGTTAGAAGTGACATATTACAAGATGGGGATAGCGGTGCCCTTTATGCTTAATTGTAATCAGAAGTCCTTCATCTGACGGTATTTCGAGGCTTATCGTCCAACACGGCACAAAGGCAGCATTGTCGGATCTCCATTTTTTCTAAAGCGTACTAGTGTGCGTGTTTACATATAAGAGCGTAGAGCTGCGTTACTTGTATTAGTGTGTACAGTTTACGCTAAAAGTCGCGCCTAAAACTTTGGCTACGGTTATAACCGATTAACGTCTTTAACAGGAGCTCGAATGTTCATGAAACAAACTGGGGCTCGATTCTTGAATTTATTCAAAGGAGAAATGTATGCGAAAATTCTTCTCTTACAGAAAAGTTACAAGTTGATTGGCTATTCGCACGGGTTTTAACCAATCGATTTTCAACTTTCCTGTGAGAGCAGAATTTTCGCATACGTTTCTCTTTTGAATGAATTCAAGAATCGAGCCCCTGCACACCCGAACGTGTATACAGGCGTGTCTTAAGGCCCGAACACACGAAAAAGAACTAAAACAGTAAAACTTACGACTTAAGGGAAATGACCAATGACTGTCGAGAACGAACGCAGCAATTTTGAAACTCAAGCAACGCTGAAAATTCCGATTGATTAAAATTCTTAAGTCTTAAATTTTACTGCTAAAGTTTTTTCGTGTGTTCGGGTCTTTAGTCCCAATCTATATAGATGATTTAAGCCCTAAGTCTTAAGAAATTGACCAATCACGGTCAAGTATGAGTAGAATACGCGACTGTGATTAGTCCATTTTTTAAGGCTTAGGGTTTAAATCTCTGTTGTAGATGGGCACTAATCACGGTCAAGTATGAGTGGAATACGCGACTGTAATTAGTCAATTTCTTAAGGCTTAGGGTTTAAATCTCTATTGTAGACGAGCACTTAGCTCTATTAGCTCTGGTAAGGCCCTTGACGAAGAAGATAGGCACGCGTACACGTTCGCACAGCCCACAAGATGGCAGTAAGTATCTATTTAACCAAAAGTAATCCTTATTTGAATTTTAAATGTTCCGTTTATTTCACATCTAAAGAATATATCTGTGCGTGGGACATACATAAGTAAAAGTATTTAATTCCACCAAGTAACTTTCATAGATCTGATCTAATAAAAATTTTGTTTGCATAAATGAAAGTATTGTTGTATTGAAATAAATAATACTGTAATGTATCAAGCTATTTAGTAAACCATTTCTCTGGGTACGTGTGCGTGTGCGTGCATGTGTGCGCGCGCATATAACGTAGGTGTATATATATGGTAGGGATGAGGACCCTATGGCTCGTCCACATATTTATTGATTCCAAACCCACCCTGCTATGTGCTTGTGAGTATGTTAATGATAATGTGTTATTAATAATGAGTATGACTTCCACCGGTCCGGATTATCTCTTCCGTACAACGAAGCATGCTTACGATCAGTGCTCTTATCTCTGCCGAGACATAAATAAAAGAGTAGAAATAAAAGGAAGCGCAAAATCGCATATTAACTCCACAAATACTACGAGAACTTCGAGCAGCTCTTAAAAGAGCGTGAAATGAAATGGACCAGACAGAAATCAAAGCCGTAAGGTCCTCGTTCCTGTACACTTACATTATATGCGCGCAAACACACACAGATACTACTTCAAACAATCAACATTGCATAGGGCATTATAGTAAGCACAAGATTATTGGAGATTATATTGGAGATTACTAGAGAAATGTTTCAATTCTCATAAATGAAATTAACATTTAATTAATTGTACGTGTACTTCATTCTTAATTGTATGCGCGTATCCACTCTTAGTATCACTACATTTGTGTTTATGTCTAAATGATAATAATTTGTAAATAATACGAGACGAGTCGAGAAGCTCTTTTATATAATATTTTTCTTGCGCTCAACAAGCTTGGCTGACTAATATCTGCTACCTGAGGATATTAAGACAGAATGGATAATGGCTTAATTATCCATTAATTAATGTATGTAAATGAATTTCATGAATAAATTATTTTACATAAATGAGAAATATTAATTCATGTAAATACTAATATGACTACATTAATTGCGCCAAAGGTGCTTGTAACTTCTGCTAATTAATTTATTAAACAGAGTTTCCGGAGTATCCAGAGTATCCGGAAACTCGTGCTCGTATAATCGAAAATCCACGCGTCTCGATCGTAAAATTCCTTGCCAGCAAGCTATTAAATGATTAAAGCAAAATTGGCTAAAGCAGCGGCAGATATATTAGATTAGCCACATAACAAAATCTAATCTTATTAATTAAATGAAGAACAGTCATAACAAAGAACGGCAGCGTCGAGTGACTCAAAAGTATCGCCGCCACGAAGTTTACGAATTACGTAGATTCACAGTGTTCTCTTTAGGGCATTTCCGAAAAAGCATCTATCTTCGTTTTAGTAATAAAGATAGATGATTCTTCCTAGAAACGACGCCAGATTATTCGACAACTCCAAGCAATATTGATTGCACATGTACGTACAAATATGTATAATGGAGGAAATCTCTGTACGCAAAAATAAAGACATGATTTATAATTATACATGTTACTGCTTAATGATTTTTCACACGCAATCGGAAATAATGAACCACTGACTGAAGAAATATGATACGCATATTTTAACGTTATTATATGACGTTATTATAACGTTAAAATATTATACTATTTATTTAATCTTAAAGATATGATTAGATGTTCTTACCCATCTGCATTCGCTTCTTCTTTAGTCACAGCCAGTAGTAAAGGATATTTGTAGAGGAAAGTCCTTAGGAGCCTATCTCATAATAGGGCACTTTTCTTTATATCTTGCCAACAGATATAGCGTATGTCAGTAGACAGTACGTCAGATATAGAGTATGTCAGTAGACAGTACGTCACACAAATTCTAAGAGACTAAGTCCATTATTTCTTTCTGTTGTTGTAGTTCTTTTTGTTGCTGCAAATTAGCAAATAGAAATAAATACGTATAGTATTAAGAATAACGTATCTCTACGTGTAAAAGACGTTTGATTCATATTTCGTAAACGTATTAGATCTCGACTCTCCAATTCATCTACACGGTCTCCTTTACGAGTACCATCTTGACAGTGAAGTGGCTCGAGTATTATCACGTTGCTAAGGTTCTCATTCTCATGCAATCGTTAACAACGAAATCACATAATACTTTTACATTGTAATGTTCCTTCCTCTTGATATACATATTTTTATTTAAAATAACCAAATACTTAAAATATAAATATACAATTTTACAATTAAATATTTTATCTGAATTTTTAATACTTGCATTTCAATTTTTGATTCCCCGAACTGGGAGCTTTCTACCTTGAAATGGTAATGGGAGTTACGGTTGTATATAAATTCATCTACTCAGGGATGCATCTAACAATAAGTGTATTTCACTAAAAAGAATCTCAGGCTCAAACAGGAACAATTTATATTGAATTTAATTTTTATTTATTAATAACTTGTGTTAATAAAATACCTTTATATCGAATAATGAAAGAACAAAGTCAAAAGTTTTTAAGGATACGAAGGATCATATCTCTGAAACCGTACGAGATAGTTATTTAGTTAAACAAAAAATATTTTTCTAATAAGAAAACTATTATTTAAAAACTATTTGGTAACAATTTTTACAAGTTTTATTATCATAAACAAGATTAAAAATAATTTTTCTATGTTACTTGAAATAATTTGTGTTTTTTTGTTCGAATAAATTTATATTTTTTCTCTTTATTGTTTTCAGAAAGTTTTTTATTTGTAGATGGAAAAGAATGGAACAATTTAGGCAACTTAGATTTATATATAGGTTTTATTAAAAAACCAAAATATATGTGATGTTACATAGAGATAAAGACGAAATTAACGAAGATCTAACGTATGTAGTATATCAATATAATTAATATAAGATTGTTAATATAATCAATATAAACAATTAAATATATTAATATACGTTTTAATAAGTCATTCCAATTACTTTTGAAATTCAAAGTAGAGGTAGTGTATACAGGACATAAAAAAATTAAAATATATACATATATATATATTTATTTACTTTTGAACAATGTTATTGATTATCCCCATCTTACCCTATATACATATATACACATGTACATTCGTACACATATGTATGTACATATTTACATGCAATTGTTTATCACATTTAGGTATTATAATAATATGCAAATTCTGCAGTAAAATTATTATTATTGGTTTAAATAAACGATTATATTATTAAGTGTCGAAATCTATTAATTTGGTTAATTTAGCAGGCGTCAAAATTAATTTAACAGATTATTTTTTCATCTTAAGCATATCTTTGGAAAATGATGAGTATTATAGAAATACGAAATTCAAATCTTGAAGCATTTAAGAAGGCTAATGCTCCATCGCCGCACACATACACACACACTTAAAAATAATAAAAATATAAATCTTTTCATAATAAAAAGAGTCGTATCTTGTACATTTTGAGTTATAAAAACTGATTTCTGTACAACACCTTAAAAAGGAGGTTAAACATTTAATTTTGTATGCGTCAGAGTAGACAATACACTAATGCAAATCTTATAGTTCCCATAGAATTTTATAACACAATTTTCAAAAATTCTAAATTAGATTTCGAAAATAATCTGTTGAATTATTTTCAAACGACTGCAAAATTAACTGAGTTAATTGATCCAAATTCTCGACAACAAAATCGCCGGCAAGAAAATAACGTTGAAGATATAAAATGAAAGATAATGTATAATATATTATAAGTTGAGTAAAAAAGTTACGTAAAGAAATACTGTGATATATAAAACGAAGAGAAAATCATATTTTCAAGAAAAATGATGACACGATATCTGTGAAACTAAAGGAAACGCGTAAATTAACAGAAGAGCAAAAGACTGAACTGTTAACTAGATGATATAAAGGTTTTATGGAGGAAAACATTGTCGAGTCATAAAACATGCCTGATATCCACATTGTTTAGTCACACGAGGGTCTCTGTTATACAAGGTGCATGAATTTCGGCGACAACTTGAAAGATGTCCATGCAGTACGACGATGATCTGCGTTGAATGTCATGATCCTCGTTATTCGAGGAGCACTCTTTGGATCAGAAGCGGGATATCTCGGACTCCTCGACAATATCAATAACAATCTGATTTTTACCGACAATAATCTTATTATCATCGAGCTCTTGCTTCTTATTATTGACATCTTGTTTATTATTAGCAACGTCCTGGTTATTACCGCCGACGTCTTGATTGTTCCCATCGACATCCTGATTATTATTGCTGATGTCCGAATTGTTACGGTCGACATCCTGATTGTTATTGTCGACATTCTGATTGTTATTATAGTTTTGACTGTTATTGTCGATATTCGGATTATTGTGATTGATGTTTAAGTTACTATCATCGACAAGATCTGCCCGTTCCGTATTCTCCGTGCCGTCGTTGCCGCCGTTAACGTCATTCCTTGTCCTACGTTCACCGAACTGTCGTTGGTAATATTCCTCGCGCATTAACTCATTGATGTTGCGCCAGCGTAAGCACATTATTAAAATAAATGGTTTGCGTATTTCCTTATTGAAGATAGCGTAGATGATTGGATTTAACGCGCTGTTGCAGTAACCAAGCCAGAGGAATAGGGACGATACGGAATGCGGAATATCATCAGCTTTGTAAAATGGTCTGATCAGTGCCAACATAAAGAACGGAAGCCAGCAAACAATGAAGGCACCAACAATAATGCCTAAGGTAGTACTAGCCTTCCGTTCACTCTTCCTCCTTCTTAGCTGGCGTCTATTACAAATGCAGATTTGATTGTTACCGCTCAGCATCCTTATCGATTTTTGCAACATGTTCCGCATAGGGCTCTCTCGCCGTTCACCGGTGGAGTGACGCCTTGGATTATCTCCGCTCTGCAATAAAACAATTTAGTAAACAACGTTAATCACTTAACGTTATTTTATCAAACAGTGAAAGGAAAAATAAGAGAAACTATTCTAGTGACAATTGTATTATTTCAGCAAGCTGTAGATTTTTTTATTCAAGAATATTAATATCTTTGTCGGGTTCTATGTTAATTCATACATTACCAAATAACTACCGATGGAAAAAATAAGTATTTCTGAATATTAGATAGTATTTATGTCATAAATAATTAATTTTATGTTATTTTGTATTAATTAAAGGATTAAATTATTTTGTGATTTTGCGATTGGATCATTAAGAGTTATCCAGGGAGAAAAAAATTAATTAAGAAAAAATATTTACTACTTGCATCGACAGTTATTTATAAAATAATCTACGTGAGAAATTATTTATATAAAAAATAATTTTCTTCTTTATGAGAATATGTACAGGGTGTCCAGTTCCTTGCTGACCAACCGAAAAGTGATCAGATTAGATTAGGTTAAACTGACAAGGAAATCTCACGAGGTCTTAATAAGCTTTTAATATGTATATAGCTTTCTAGACAAAAATGAGGAACATACATTATTTATACGTGCCCCGCATGCTTAGGGGGTGAAATACCTTCTAAACAAACGATCCTTGGGATTAAACGAGTGGGAGACCCGGGATCGAGGCATTTTGCCCGTCAGTGCGAAAAATTGAGGGTGTGTTCCCATTTCCTCTCAACACTACTGCCAGTATTGGATGCCATTACTGAATTCAGCTTCTGAGAAAATCGTTCCCAAATGAAACCTCAGTGTCCTTCGTAAAAATGTAGCGGTTATTCTTTTCTAAATGCAATCTCCACACCATTTCTTTGATACTGAACGCTCGGGACTATTGGGCGCACTGGTTTAATTGGGAACAGCCATTTCGATATTGTCAGTAGTATTGAGGAGAAATGGGAACACAACCCGAATCACGCGTATACCTTGTGTTTGTACGTACACAGACACAACAGAGGTGTAAATCCGACCGTGCAACCTCCCCACGGTACACATTGGCTAATGCTAATACCGACGGTACTGAAATTTTTAAGCCTAATAGCTCCGAAGGTACTTAGCGGAAAGATATTATAGTGTTTTGGAAAGCTCTCTCTAAGGTTCAAAGCTTTTGAGTTAAGAAAATGTTGGCAATAAAATTTCTGCCAGGCCTAGTCGAATAATATTACTTGTTCTGTTACTTAATCACCGGCGAAGAAAATATTACTCCTAGATATTTTTAAGTCCTACAACTTTTGACCCAAACATTTTCTTAAATGCTTTCCTAAAGAGATATTCTAGTGGAAACTTTAGAATGGACGTATACATCGGTGTCACGCATAAGATATCCATCCGTTTATGAATAGATAGAACACATTAAACTGACCCGAAAAGTCCTACATTATTTTCCAAAAAACACGTAAAATTTTAAGTCATTAATTAATATGTATACAGGGTATTACGGTTAAGGTGTCCATCCCTTCATATACACAGGTAGAACGGGTAAAACTGAAAAGTTCCATACCATTTTTTAAAATTCGCAATAGTTATCGAGTAATTAATTAAATATTCCGAGCGAATGTGCGCGTAAAAAGTGATAGGTCGAACTCGGTAAGCATGCAAAATAGCTTATTTCTTTGATCTCCAAGCAACGGTGAGCATCATTTGATAGCGAGAGGAGCGATGCGTTGCATATGGCACCGCGCCAAAAGAAAATTGTCAGGCAGCAAGCGGCGATTGTTTACGCGTTTCGTCCTCTGAGGCTCGCCCGTTTATGAATTAACTTTTTCGTTTGTGTCAATTTTTCATTCGTGTACCATTTCTCGTGATCGATTATTTTCTTTTTTCTAAATTATGCTCGAATAAGAAACTAGGAGTTACGAAAACATTATTCGATATCTGTCTTACTTGAATACCGAATAATCGAGTCGTTATTTACGAATAAATTTTGTCCGATGCTGATTGTGACAATGGAGACACTTGTTCAGAATTTAAAAGCTACAGAGCATATATATCTATATTTCAGAACAGAACAATTTGACTGAAGTTACTTTTCTATAAGAGTCATGCGGGATTCTTTATGCTTTACCTGAACATGGGTGACATGGCACTCAAAGTTTTAAAAATGCATCAGACAATTTGAAGAAACTACAGAGGGAAAAGATAGTGGCGGTCGTGAATAATTAATAAACTTTTTGGAAAGTTATTTTTCTGGAATATGTTTAGCTGCTTCAGTTACGTTATCGACCTAAACCCTGAAATTATTTTCTCATTTCCACTTTCCAACTTTTTCAACTCGATCGATACATGCATTGTCATCGGGAGAAATTTAACAGGAAATAATATTGATTATTATGACGGCATGAAGTAATGCAATTATGAAGGAAAATTTCAAGTAATTTTTTCAGCAAGCGAGTAACATGATCATCTATTGATTAACAAGTTTGTCGGCTAACTGAAATTCCATGATTCCCATAATGATTTTATGTAGTGCATTTTACAATGTATCGTTGAACACGTTTATTTCGTCGTTTCGCAAACGTTTTCCGTAAAAATTTCGACACAGTTCCAATCGACACATCGCTCGCGATATATTTTGCGGATATCAATCACACTGGAACTCCTTTTTTGCTTTTTTTTTTTCATTCGTTACTTTGCTTCGCTGCGGCATTGGAATGTATCCAGTTCCACAGGTACTTTAAAATCGTCAGCAAAATGTAATCAACGTACTTCGCAACGCGCGACTGGCACAGTAGGTGATTCGAATCGATCAATACTGTGCCTCGCCACGCCGCGTGGGATCGTGATATATCTCAGAACAGCTCTCCTTTAACTGCATGCAATTCCTCGAGCTCGTTATTGTTTCAGCGTGAAAGCCAACGAAGATCATTTTTTGTGATCTTTAATACTTGCCACTTTCAGCATCCTCAATCATGTGTGTATGTGTGTGTTTAAGGGAGGGACGCAATTATCCGTTATTCACATGGTTAAAGTTCACATTCCACTAAAGAATTCAAATGAAATCAATCTTGTTATAATTAATATCATGATATTCAGTAAATAGAACCAATTTGATACTTGATATGTCATATTTGTGATTTAATTCAAGATAAAGGAGGATAGGTAAAACGGGCTGATTTAACTTTTAAAAAGTGTAACGTGCAATACATGTAATCTTACGTTTCTTGGGTTGCTGAGTCAGATGTATAATAGCATTTTTATCCTTCTAAATCCATGGGAAAGTAGTCAAAATTCGACTTAAAGGGGTCAGAATAAATCACTTTTAACAGTAATTTAGTTAGTGGCGATTTTGTTCCAATTGTGTATTATTAGCTAAAAACAATATTAATAAGCGAAAAGTTATTAAACTTTTAAAATGTTTTGTGACTTTTCACAACTCTTGCTGTAATTCTGAATATAGAAAGAAGTTTAGTTAAACCCGTGTGTTTTTAACTCTCCAACGGACCGTAAGAAAACAAATCCACCATTTAAAAGTGTTAAGAAATTGAATTTCATATCAATCGATGGTTTCCTGTCTACATTACATGTGATTTATACTGTTTATAGAATAGAAGGTTTACTTCAGCACATTCTGAATATGGTTTCTTTAGTTTAGTCCGCTAATTATTCATAGTAAGGAGTGTTTCTCCGGGAAGATAGGCAACAAAAAGTAGGAATAATATACTAGCGTATTATTCCTTCTTTATTCATTAAAATAAAGACGGCAAGAAGCGAAAATATCTCAGTTGGAAGAGCATTTCTCCCGGCAAGCGGAAGATCCCAGGTTTGAATCCTGGTCTATTCAAGTTCGAATCCTAGCCCGTTATTTTTTTCGCCACAAAATTAACAAGTGGCGCGTCTTTGTTAGTGTCTATCTTCCCGAAGATATACCTCTATTTATTACTATGGACAAGACATTTTTGTATGTCTCAAGTTTTTCTTTTCACATTTTGTTTCTCATATTTGAGATGCGCGCCTATTTATTATATTTGTGCCAATGGGGTTCAGCTTTATTCCATAGGAACGTTTACGAGCTGCAGGAGGAGGGACGTAGATGTCGTCGCTGGTGTCGACTCTGGCCGTCGCATTCTGGTGAAGGGTTGGCAGGAGACACCCCTCGCGGAATGGATTTATCTTTTTCGTATTACGGCCGGAATAGACCACTTTTTCAAAAAATCGCTTTGTAGCGAGAAGAAGGCGATGCCGCTGCTTATACAAATATCACAGTTAAAGTGCGATTTTCTCTTTATTTCGGCCGTAATACGAGAAAGATGAATTTATCTCCATGTGTACTATGGATTCATCGCGAGGGGTCGCTAGTATGGCTCATGTTGACCCTTAGAATAGAAAAAGTTGTACACGATTATAAAAGGTGTAGGCAGCAAACTAATGAAAGCTTTTGTTCACTGGATATCGTTCGCCACTGCTCTCAGAATATCCTAATATAATAATATCCCACAATCAAAGCCTTTCTTAAACATTTCGCGTGTAAATACTGTGACATATTTAACCACACTTCTAATGATATTTCTTCAAGTCTTGTCGTCAAATAATTTTTTTCTTTCATTTTAACTGTTTACTCTTTACAATCCGTACAGCACAAAACTTGCAGTTACATTACAATAACATTGCCACAATATTGCAATATTGCTGGAATGTAACTGCAAGGTTTGTGCTGTGTGGGAATTTGTTTCCTTTCCCTAACATCAGCATCTAAACCCGAAACATTTTCATCCTTACGGATTCCTACCGCGGATTAACTGATTAATATCAGCGTCGAGATTCATAGCATCTTAATCAAATCGATGGCAAACAAATTGGCTAAGAAATTAATAAAACGATACCTAAAAGTCTTAAAGAATTTAAACTCTGTCCCAAAAGATTATTTACCTCTCTTACGTAACATTCCCTAAGCCAGTTCCCATTCCATTTTTTATAGACTTCCCACACTGTACAGCAGTCCTAAAAGAAATAAATTAACATCTTTTTTGTACACTTGTATACACATATATGTATGTTTAAATAGAGTTCATAAATAAGTCTTAATGTTCCACAATTATCTCAATTTAAATTGTACTACTTTTGTAACATCCGCAAATCATACACATTTAAATATTTTATTTACACATACAACGGAACTCAGCCGATGTAATTAGTTGGCCCTCATGGCTCTTGTACACAGGACGAGAAACGCTTGCCGCATGACAAAAAATAATGCAATAATGAATCATTCTTTTGTTCTTATAAAAAAAGTATCAAATTGATTGATTCTGGAGTTTGGATCTTATATTTTAATTCATATTTTAATTCATATTTTAATTGGTATCTCCAAATAATTTATCATTATACAATATATTATCCACCTTTAACAATATTACAAACAATTTATGGACATATTCTTATTTTCTATTTCAAAGACTATTTTGTCCACCTCTAGTGAATAAAATATTTTAATAAAATATTCGGTATATTGTCATATATCGATTGCCATATATATATTACATATTTTATATGTGAAAACGGTTGTGTATAATTTCAGTACTTGCTTTATTATAACAAAACTGCTAAGCAGGATATTGTCCTCTGCGCGTCAAGATCCGAGACAGTGCGCACGACAGCGCATCGTCGCTTCTCAAATCGCCACATTATTTATCAAAACGCGTGCATCTCAAATAATAGGAGACACTGCGTTCATAAATATATAAATTAAATTATTTAGAAAAGCAAGTATTTCTATTGAAGGAATTGAGAAGGAGATTATTATAAGAGTCAAAATATATTAATATTCGTCACTTAAACGCTTAAATTCAGCGTTTGTAATTTGTTAAAATTCTCCACCCTTCGAGATATCATTGTTCTAGTTTGCGCTTAGATTCGGATGTCTAGTAAATCATAAAGCATCGAACATTTCTCGCATTTTTTCATCGTAAGAGCACTATCCTTTATAGACGCGCATTAAGTTACACTTTTCATATTAAAAACAAAATAGCATATACTTAGACACCGGAGAGAAAAGCAGAAATTTAAAAATGCGGAAAGTTTAACTACAAAAAACAGATTTATTATACGACAGTAAAATGTGCCTCGCATGCGATTAATGTCGACAATTCTATGCAAGTACAGTGTAATTATTCTATCCTGCAAATTAGCACGCGCGTAATTAGCCATATTTTTGCTAATGTTTGTTGTATAAAAGAAACAAATGAATTTGGAGAGAATAAAGAAGAGGAGAACGAGGAGGAGAAAGAAATTTGGATATATCCAACGACATTAGAGCAATTAAAAAGTGTGAATAAATTATTATTTTCTATTTTAAATTCTATAGTAGTATTCACAATTATTTTGTACTCAGATAATAATCATTCTTTTAGATAATAATTGATAAAGCCGCTTCCCCCGTAATCATTCCGTAAATCTGGAGAAATTTATCGTAAACAAAATCCTCAAAAAGTTCATCAAGCGCGATTTGAAGCCGCAGCACAATTCATTTATAACCGTGACGAGATAAAATCTCGTCGCATGCATCCGCATGGTATATAAATATACATATATTATTTGCTTTTGTCGTTCCATTTTCATCTCAGAACTACTTTATAACTTACGTTCTTGCAAACGTAAAAAAAAATATCAATTCGTTTAGAAACTTAATTACATAACTTATTAGAAACTGCACATTTATGTCTCCTGCAGTGGTTTATTACGTAACATCGTAATGTTCAAGTAAAACGTTAAATTGTGAAACTACGAAACTGAATATAAAGGAGCGAATGGAGGACAGAAATATAGTATTCATATTTCCAAATATAGCTGCGAACAATAGCGCGTGGTTAATGTGTGGGCGAACTTTACCGATAAGTAAACAATTATATAATTTACGTCACAATTGCAGAATTATTACAGGAGCAATTTATTCATGAAATCGCCGCGGCGAACAGGATATGATTAAATATTGATTAGTATTTAGTATACGTAGCGCGTATCTTTAATAACCGGTCTTTTGTGCATGCGATTGATGTATGATCCACGCTTACTTACGATTCCCCTCCCCCCCCTCTCTCTCTCTCTCTCTCTCTCTCTCTCACTCGCTCACTCACTCACACCTTTTCCTTTTCTCCTCTTTTTTCCTATCTATAAGCGCGCGCGTATCACGTATGCATGTGTGAAATGGTTTTTAAAAAAATTGACTACACAGTAAAATTTGTTAGTTGAATTGTCGTGCTGGTAAAATATTCACAAATTTTCTAATATTAAAAATTTTCTAGTATTTAGTCTTAGTGTGCATCGTAGATTGTTAAAAATATAATTCGATTTATGTATATGTATACGAAGTGTTAATTTGAGCAGTAAAAGTCTGAAAATCACGGAATTAAAAACAAATGTTTCGTACCTACATACAAAAGTTTTATGATTTCGGGGGAGATATAAGACGGCGTCATTGCTTTGGCTTTTGATAGTCGTTTGAACAATTTCTTAAATTGAAACTCCCATTTTTCTATTGCATATTATTATAGCTCTTTCCTCGAGAACTTGTCAAAACATTATAATAAAGTATTTATTCATTAAGTACTTTTGAGGTATAAGACTTATTGTTAGTAGAAGTTTACCAGTGAGCTCTATACATGCTGGAGTGAGTGGTCCTATTGTTCTCGATATCAGAAAGATACCGTTGGGTGAATTTCTGTCTCTTTCTCTACTATCTGATTGGTCAATGATTTTCCATCTCACCTTCTATGAGTGAGATAGAAATCGTGAGATAGAAAATCATGTTATGGAAGTCAGCTCACTGAAGTTTACAGTACTACTAGTAGCATTACCCAAGATGTACCGCGTGAAGATTGCACGGTTGGATTTACATCTTTATTTTGTGTGCGCGTGTGCATGTGCGTGTTTGCGCACGGATGGTAGACGCGGACGCAACACACTCGCACATTTACACATAAAATAAAGCTGTAAATCCGCGACAGTATGTACATTTCCGTAATCAATAATAATTCTCGATTTTCATAACTTTCCCCGGACGTGGTGGACAAAAATACATGTTATTTTCTGTTTCCACACGATTTCCCAAACAGTTTCCAATGATTAATTTAGATTTCGCCGTTGGGCGAAAAATGGCTTTTTTTTTAACATCCTCCTGGCTTGTGTGACTAAATGTTTTCAACATCCCAAAATTTATAAGAAACATCTTGTCTCATTCAAAGTAATAAACAAATTCTTTAGGCACGTGCGTCTTCTACTTGTTACTCTCGAAAAAATCTTTTTTTGTTGCATATTTTAATTGATGATGAATTTCACTTGCAAAAATATTTTGCTTTTTATGAATTTTTTCCAGCGTAATCACAAGCGTATTCATCGGTCTCTTAATTAATCTCATTTAAAGTTTAAAGGTCTAATTGAGTCCGATGGTCATCGCTAGTGAAGTTTATGTAATTGAACAACTGTTGTTGATTAGTTAAAACTCTGTACACAATGTTTTCCGTTATCTGGATCAAATTATCTACATTTTCATCTAAATGCGACCATTGTTCATTTGATCTTTTATCTATATAACTAAAGTATGTAGCACCTTCAACTGTATGTCAAGTAAGAAAAGTAACATTATTTTATAAAACATCTAAGAGAATGTAATCAACGCGCACTGATATTAATTCGTCTCAATACTGCATATTCGATCATATCATGATGTCTACAGGTCGGCTATCGTAACGACACTTGCGTAATATCAGTGCAGCACAAGTTCCGTGTTTGTCCAAACCTGTGCCAAATTGGTTATAACACTATATGTTCGAACGCGCTGACATCGCTATTACGTCATTCTATCCTTGTTTTACATATCATAGGCAATAAAGATAGCGTGCTCCCTGAACCCTACAAGCTTTCACAGACAGGACACTTCAACGCATAAGAAACAACAAGCGGTAGCTAATCAACATTTTGCTCGAATGTATTTTTTTATATGTATGCATATATTTTTTTTTATTGATGCATGCACCAAACATTTTTATACAACATTAATATTGTTGCATTATTTTGAATTGTATAAAAAACTTAATAAGTTAACGCTGATTTATTAAAAAATAACTAATTCGACGGGATAAAAGTGCTAAGAGTCGTGATAGAGTGTTAGTGTCTAAAATAATTTTCTTAAACTAAACAAACGTTTCGATCTCTTTTTAGACCATCTTCAGTGTATGTGACATAAGTAAAATTCGAAAAGACACATATCTAAATCACTCGCAAGGCATGTGCCGTACAGAAGTAAAAATTATTAGTGTAAAATGTACTTCGATGCAAAATAAATCATATGTTAAAATAGCAGTACAAAGAGTCACACGTAGTCAAGGTGTAAAACATGTTATGGTAACAAGTCCACAAAAGTCATTACTTAAATAACTTTCATAATAAATCTTGAGCGATTTAAATCGACATTCGACCAGTGGCAATTCCAATCTTATTTGAATAAACAGCACGCCTCATAAAAAGAAAAACTCGTTATTTGTTACTTTTTCTGTCAGACGGATAGACATACAAATGGATTGTTTGTCGTGTCCGTCGAGGGATTCTTTGAAATTCCAAATAAGTAAGATAAGAAAATCGTACAATAGCACAACAGGCGATTTTGATTCTCTTCGGAATAAAGGAAGAGTAAAGAGAACAGGAAGTTAAGAATGCACTTTTATTGAATCGCATTGCGTCTTTGTTTTACTTACAATCCACCAGTATCTATGACTTTCGTGTCTTGTAGAAAAGAACAGAATTTTAATTATAAAATTGTCGACGATCGTTTCTTATCTTTGTTCTCAACTCATTGTCATTGCTCTTTTTATAATATGAGAGACAGAAAAACGAAATAGGAGTTTAAGAAAGAATAGTTAGATTTATATAGAAAGCAATATATTTTAATTTGTTTTTTAAAATAAAATATAAGTAAACAGCTGTAAGTCAGCATTTGCATTTTATAT